GAATCAGAAGTGTGCGCAAAGTCACAATTTTCAACTATATGCTGGGGAGATTCGGGTGGAGCTCTTTTTAGAAGAAATGGTGAGGAATACGAAGTCTTCGGAATAATAAAAGCGACATTTTGTGGAAAGGGTCTCCCAGCCACGTTCGAAAGAACATCGTACTTTTATGATTGGATAGTAAAACAAATGAATATTTTAACTCGTGACTAAAGCCTTAAATGTAAATTGCGCTAGAATTAGCCAAACGAAATGCCTGATGAAAATATTCCACGAAACACTATTTTAATTGAAAGTTTTCATACAAATTTCAATACCTGCATTCCTGCATGAAACCGTAAAGACCGAAAATATATCATTTTTATTGTGATTGTTGCTGTTTTAAGTTTTATTTTGTAAGTGTTCTATAGCATGCTAACAACAACACTGAAGATAAACTTATCCTGCGATTTTTTTTTCACATCATCCTAGAGCTAAGCTTTTGTAGATGAATTTAGCCTTTTCCAAATTGCAAATTGTATTGAAAATTCCAATATCCGGCGGCTTCATATGACAGAATCATGAAAATTGGATCAAAACGCATTTAGATGCCTTAAGCTTGATCAAAGTTAAAAAACACCATTTACTTTCATTCAAGACAGTATCAGATAGCTCAAGAAAGGAGAAAACAAAAAAACCGATGCATTTGTAAAATTCGCGATAAAAGAAAATTAAACCCGTCTGTTTTATTACATATCAAAGTGAATTTTAATGGTACTGATTTTGAGTTTACAAGCGATTAAACAATTCGGATCGATGGAATTTTCTCATCAAATTTGATAATCATATCAAATTAAAATGCGCCTCCTCGTCCGGAAGGCGGTGGAGCTCGCTGCATCATTGGTGGTCTCATCTGCCCTGGTGGCATCGCACCAGCACCTCGACCCATACCTGGTGGCATACCTTTAAAATTGAAATAATTTTAGTACATCGATGATAATAACAAAAGCAAAAAAAAAACAAACGAGTGTGAATTAACACACTGATCAATATCAAGTCGAACACAAGCACACATTTTAGTGGAACAGAGAATTACCTTGCATCATACCCGCTGGTGGACCGCCCATCATTTGAGGTGGTCGCATTTGTGGTGGAGCGACAGCAGCACGACCAACAGGTGCCATATCTATAAGGAAAATGTGAAAAAAATCGAATGTAATTAAAAATGTCGTGGGGTGGTCGTCAAAAAAGTGTTTTCATATAAAATAGAAACAAATTTCTCTTCTTCCGAATTTTTCAACAAAAATGATCAAAACAATAACTTACGTTGAGCTGATGGACCGCCAACGCCTCGAACTGGACCTTGCAAACCAGCGGCTACACCTGGAAAAAACAATTGTGATATTATTTGGTGATCAGCGGATGAAAGTGTATTATTTGGTAATCAGCGGATGAAATAAATACTTGATAAGTTGGCTGGGATGCCTCGACCAACGGCACGACCGATTCCAGGTCCTGTAGCTGCGCCTGGGATGGGCACTCTTGGTAAACCCTCCTCCGGTGGCGGTGGTCCTTCGACTGTCAACGAAACAATGTTTTCGCCACGCAACAACACGAAACCAAGGACACGTTTCTCTTCACGTTCCGGCAATTTGCTGTTCTTTGGTCGAATTTTTCTGAATTCTTCGCAATCGCCCAAGATGAGGTTCATGTGTTTGTCGAATGCTTTAAAGGTACCGATAAACGTACGCGAGTCCTGCAATACGATGCGCACTCGGTAGTTTAGATGCTGAGCCATCTTATTATTCTTACCAATCGCCTGTGAAAAAAAAAACAGAAAAATTCATTTTTTTTTTATCAATTCAATTGGCATCCAAAATCGATTATGTTTGGTGGTATAAACATAACCTTACAATTAAATACACACAAAATAAATGGAATTACAAAAAATGCCGTGAAAAAATTGACTCACCATTTTGTGGCTCGGTTATTTGAACGGTTTCACACAAAAAAATTACACGTTCTTCGATTGAAAGCAATTGAATATCTGAAGAAAAAAATTCAAAACACACAAACCGTGTGATGCAAACGATTTAAAGCGCTTCGTTTTCTTGTTTTCACTGAGCGGCTGCCATTGTCAACGAACTTGTACCGCAACATGGATCGAAACCGGTTCGGAAAGTCAAATTACATCTGCAACCAACTTCATGCTGTTAAATGAATAGAAATTGGAATTGTTTGTTACATTTTTCTTGATTTATTTGCGTTAAAAAAAAAATTGAAAAAGAATTTTTGACGAGAAAATTGAGATGTAAACGTTGTTTTAATTTTTTTTCGTTGATTATAGCCCGGAATTTCAAGCTTCTGCCAACGCGTGTTCGATATAGTCTTGCCAAATCATTTACCGTTGACAGTTTGGAAATACCATGTGTGAGTGTGTTGGTTACGACGAAATATGGAAATGACAGTGAATCATGTTTTGTTTTTTTCTTCTTTCGCCACCATTCTTCGTCTCGCTCTGACGCAAAGCCAATCCGCTTACTGCGTTTCGTTTGCATCGCAGTTCATTTCATTCATTGTGTATACAAATTTGTACATCAATCAGCGAACTTCATGTATGAAACAGTGCGGAGAAATTTCTCATTGTTCACAGTTGAGTCAGTGTGTTTGTGATAATTTAGTCATTTAATTGCATTTCATCTCCGTTATTCGGTTGTTTTTTTTTTTGCGTTTCATTCACCATATAAAATTGTATTTAGTGTGTTGTTTGCATTTTTTATCATTTTGAGACCACTCCCCTTGTGTTGGTGGTGTGATAAAAGAAAGAAAATACAAAGTAAGAAGAAGTTCAAAGCGAGTACATTCGCGGTGTTGATTAGTACTTTCTATCCAGTTGAATAAACTTGTTGGATTTTTAGAATTCGTGCGAGTGTGATTGAAAGACATCGAAATGGAAATGTGGAAGGCAACGGCTGGTCACAATGTGCCACAACAAAATAATGCCGACGACGACGACTGGGAAACAGATCCCGATTTTGTGAACGATGTGACAGAAGAAGAACAACGCTGGGGATCGAAAACGATAGCAGGCAGCGGACGCACAGCCGGAGCCATTGAGTGAGTTTCGTTTTTGGAATTTTAATTTGAAATCATCCAGCGTCTATCATAATAATGAATGTTTAATTTTGCGTTCAATCTCCATTCAGTATGACCCAATTGCGTGCAGAAACAGAGAAAGCTGACGCCGAACTGAAGAAAAAAGAGATTGAAATTAAGAATCCAGGCCATGGATACGGTGGAAAATTCGGTGTTGAAAAGGATCGCATGGATAAATCAGCCGTCGGTCATGATTATGTAGGCAAAGGTAGGCAATTGTGTACAATTTATATAGAAAAACTAGTTTCAGTCGTCGTCATTGAACTTTAATTACAATCAATTTTTCACATTGATAGTGGAGAAACATAGCTCACAAATAGACTATGCTACCGGGTTTGGAGGCAAGTTTGGAGTACAAAGCGACCGTATTGACAAATCAGCCGTCGGTTGGGATCACATCGAAAAAGTTGAAAAGCATGAATCACAAAAGGATTACAGCAAAGGCTTTGGTGGAAAATTCGGCGTACAAGAGGATAGAAAAGATAAATCGGCCGCTGGCTGGGATTACGTTGAAAAGACAGAAAAGCACGGAAGCCAAGTTGATCACAAAATCGTATGTATTCACTTGCCTACCACCCAGTGGAGGCCTTCTTATAAACAAATCGTTCCGAAACAATGATGACTCAGTGTTCCACGAAACGCATTGTTGACATTCATCAATTGACAACAAAATGACTCATTCGAATGTTTTTTGTTTTGTTTCATTGCTTCAGGGTTTCGGTGGAAAGTTTGGCGTGCAAAACGATCGTATGGATAAATCGGCTTTGACCTTCCAGGAAAATCCAGACAAAGCAGGAACAAATTACATGAAAACAAAACCTGATATTGGTAATTATGACGATTAAAACTTGAATGAAAACAAACCGTATTTGGAGACAAATTGTTTGAGTTAACAATCACTTTTTCATGTTCCAAAGGTGTAGCCAAACCGTCGAATTTGCGTGCAAAATTCGAGAATTTTGCCAAAGAAAAAGAGGAAGAAGATTCAAAGCGAACGGCCGAACAAAAGCGATTGCGTGAAGAGAAAGATCGTTTAGATCGTGAGCTAGCACAAAGAAATTCGCAAAATGGCAATGTCAATAACGAGGCTGACAGAAGAAGTCAACCAAAAACTCCAATTGATACTGGCCGTTCTGGTAGTATTGGTAATGCAATCAGTTTGTTTAATAAAGCTGAAGATAAGCCGATCGCACCAGCTCAACGCGTAAGTCGCAAACGAAAATACGTTCATATCATTCGAACTGACAGTTCGTGTATTGAACAAAAACTGAAATATTTCCACATTTTTGCTTGCAGAAAGAACCGATTAAGATTCCACGAGAACCAGTGCAAGAGCCGAAATTTCCAAGGCAAGAGCCGAAACTTGAACCAGAACCGATCCCCGAACCCGTTCAAGTGCAATATACAGAAGAAGAGCCACAGACACAAGCAACAAATCTGGTTAGTCAACAGCCAGATGTGATTCCACAACGAGAATCGGTTCAATCCGTTGAATCCGTTGAATCCGATCACTTCGAAGCAGTAGCTCCTCCAGAGGCATTTGGCAATCAGAATGGTTCGGCTATTGAGAACGTTCCCGAAATTGTGCAAGACGTACCAACGAATCAAGCCATTGCCAACGAACAAATTTACTCGAACATTGATTACATACAGCAACAAGCTCCAGAGCCAAGCCAAGCTCAATCCGAAGGGGAACAAGCAGGTTCCGCTGCATTGGCAGGAAATGAAAATTGTGACTTGGCCGAATATATCGAAGACACGAAAATTCAAGCCATCGCACTGTACGATTATCAAGCATCAGCCGAAGATGAAATTTCATTCGATCCAAATGATGTTATCACCCATATCGAAAAGGTAAGCACAAAATTCGAACTTGTAATTTCGAATTAATTGCATTGAATGAACTAATTTCGTTGAACATTTCCCATACACACAGATTGACGAAGGCTGGTGGCGTGGATTGTGTAAGAATCGATATGGCTTGTTTCCAGCAAATTACGTGCAAATTTGCGAGTAACGTCGGATTTTTCCACAAGGCAATAGGAATTTTATACATGAGTATTTAAACGTTCAACAAGTGAAACTAAATCTTAGTTTGTAAACTCATCATTTTATTGACATGATGCGGAAATGTCAGACATTCCGCATATAGAAAATGGATAAATAATAGATTTTCTATTCGATTTGATAAATAATAACATATTTTTGTTTCGTTCTTTATTTTTCGCTTGCTCATCATTTTTGGTTATGTTTAATTTACATATGGAGAAACTTTTATCAAATGTATTATGACGAACTAAACAGAATTGAAATAAACAAGATTGATTTATATCCGTGAAACCTCGGAACAACAGGTTTTTTTTTTAAATGTAAAGCAGAGAAAGCTAAAGAAAAATGAAGGAGTGTGATGTATTTCATTTGGTGCCAAATTTTGTCAATTAAAAATTCCAGTTTAAAATTCGTTCAAAGTGCGTAAACATATGTTAATCATACATCATTTCAACATTCTACGCTGATGCGTCAAAGACCTCCATATAAAGTAGTTCATTTGATAATGATTTATTCAAGTCGAGTTCTTAACAGATGATTCAGAATCGCTACTGTTTAATTCAGTAAAATTTGAAGTATGGTTATCGGTATAGCGGTTTATTCCAATCAAACGACGAATCGGCCATTCATCCTGCATTTATCAATTATTCATGGATTTCATCAGTCTTTCACTTTCTATCAATATCGATTGAATTCCATGGCAATTCACCGACTTTCAACAGCAAAAAAAAATTTGTTTACCCGAAAATTCATCGTTTTTATCATCGTTTGCGATAACGTCGAATTTGTCTGTTGGCTACGCCGCAATCTGGAGATTGTGTATATTCATGTGACGCAGGTGCCGCATGTCATCCGATACGTCAATTTCCAACCGCACCATACGTTCTATACGTATAAAACGCTAACCTCAAACCGTTTAATCACGTAGAACGTTTTAGTCAAGTGGCATAGAGTTGCGGCCGATTTGATTCGATCTATTTGGAGAGAGAGAGAGAACGACAGCCAATTTATTTTAATCGTCTTTGAAAAAGTGCGGAGAAAAGTTGCAAAAATGAGTCGTTGCCCATCACAAGCTGTATTTCACGCAAAAAATTTGCTGAAACAAAAGGAAAATATGATTGCCAAACGATATGGGTAAGAGAATCAATCATGAAAAAATTGTTTCATTTCTGAAATTTTATCCGTCATTATTTTGACCCATCGTTCCAAGGTCACGTCAAATCGATATATATATGCAAAAAAAGAGTGAAAAAATGTGTGTGTGTGTGTGTGTGTGTGTGTAGCAACGATCATCCGGTTTGTGCAATAACCTACGAAACATGAAACTAGTGTACTTTATTTGTGTACGACAAGTGGCTAATTACGGAAATATTCTCCCGTTCTTATCACCAGTTTAATTCAAGCCAAACCTTTTTTTTCATCTTTTCTCTCTTTCTCTCTCTACGTCAGTCAATAGTGAACTGTCGTCAAGTGTTTGTGCGAGATGTGTTTGCGTAACACTGTTGTTTTTCACATATTTCGAATCGCTTTTCGAGACTTATAAATATTTTCACCAGTGTCTTAAATCGACGAACGTTGTGTGTGGTATTTTCAGTATTTTATTTTGGTTATGTCACAAATGTGCCGGCTATTTATTGGCAAACATGTTTTTATTCGAATCGTAAGCCGTCAATGCACGTATTTGTTGTTGTTCTAATACGGTATTTTTTGGTTTGGCTTATTGACACAGATCATGGTTTTCCGCTGTACAAATGGGACCACCCGATGCCATTTTAGGAGTAACTGAAGCATTCAAACGCGATACCAATCCGAAAAAAATCAACTTGGGCGTCGGTGCTTATCGTGATGACAATGGAAAACCATACGTTTTGCCAACTGTTTTACAGGTAATTTATCTCTAGCATTGAATATTTTCATAGGTTATGAATATGATTCATAACCAATATGATTATTATCAGCAATGGCTCTAATTGATTTATTTTTTTTTTCACATCGTTAATCAAAGGCTGAACAAAACATTTTGAATGCCAAACTTGACAAGGAATACTCGGCTATCGGTGGCAATGCTGAATTCTGTAAATTGTCAGCTGGTTTGGCATTGAATGAGAATGCAAGCGATACCGTTGCACCAAATGTGGCTACCGTTCAATCAATCTCAGGCACTGGAGCATTGAGAATTGGCGGCGCTTTCTTGAACTCGTTCGCTCAGGGCAAAGACATTTACCTACCAACACCAAGTTGGGGAAATCACACACCAATCTTCAAGCATTCCGGTTTAAATGTCAAATCATACAGATATTACGAACCAAAAACATGCGGCTTCGACTTCCAAGGCGCTCTCGAAGATATCAACGTAAGGCGCCAATGATATATAATTTCTTGGAATAATTTTTTAGATTCAATCATTATTTAAAGAATGAAAAGTTTTAAATTGAACAAAATTTGGAATTTTCGAAATTTTTATGAGAAAGAAAATGATTTTGACACATTTGATTTTGTTTCGCCAACAGAAAATCCCAGAGAAGTCAATCATCCTTTTGCATGCTTGTGCTCACAACCCAACTGGTGTCGACCCAAAACCAGAACAATGGCAAGAATTGTCGCAATTGATTAAGAAACGCAACTTGTACCCATTCTTTGATATGGCTTACCAAGGCTTCGCCAGCGGTAGCGTAGACAAGGATGCATTTGCCGTACGTTTGTTCGCCAAGGAAGGACATCAATTCTGTTTGGCTCAGAGCTACGCCAAGAATATGGGCTTGTACGGTGAACGTGTTGGTGCCTTTTCGTTGGTGTGCGCCGACAAAGATGAAGCCGACCGTTGCATGTCACAAATCAAGATCTTAATTCGTCCAATGTACTCAAATCCACCAATTCACGGTGCTCACCTTGTGCGTGAAATCTTGGGCACACCGCAATTGCGTGCCCAATGGTTGGGTGAAGTTAAAGGAATGGCCGATCGTATCATCTCCGTTCGTACTGCCTTGAAATCGAATTTGGAAAAAGAAGGATCGTCAAGACCATGGAACCACATCATCGACCAAATCGGCATGTTCTGCTTCACTGGATTGAAAGCACCAGAAGTAAGTTAGAGACTTTTTTCTGAACAAATGTTCACATTGAACAGAGCTGTTCAAATTTAAAGCTATTTAAAATGATAATATCCTGGAAAATTCCACTTGAATCACATTTCCCTTCAATTCTAGTGCGAACGTATCACCAAGGAGTTCAGCGTCTACTTGACCAAAGATGGCCGTATCTCAATGGCTGGAGTTACCAGTAAAAATGTCGAATATTTGGCTCACGCCATCCACGCAGTCACCAAGTAAAAACAGAATGAAAGCGAAGGTTCATTGCATCCCCACACCAAAATCACATCAAATCGCTACAATTTCAAAATTTCGATACAAAGTCAAAAGGCTGTTATGAAATGACAGGATCAATTGCATTTATCAATTTAATTCCCAATACTTTTTTGAGATGGAAATAATACACATGTTTTAATTATTGAAAACCATTGAGATGTTATTTCATTTCTCCTGTTGCTCAATCGGATCAAAAATTCTTAATATGGCCGCTGAAAATTGTGGTGTTGGTTGCTCTGTCCCAAATGTGGTATATGAACGGATGATAGACTTCGAAAGAAAATGCAGCTTCTAAAGTCCTTATGCTTCTTCCTTGAAAATTAATGTCAGTAGAATAGTTAGAATTTAGAAGGTGAACTTTGCAGAAGAGTAAACTAGGTCATTGACACATGTAATGTTGGGCGATGATTTGGTAAATGTCTTTTTTTCCAATTCTTGTCATGTTACCTATCCCATTCTCCTAATGTTTAGCTAATTGAACAAGCGTAATTTGTAATATTCTACCTGTTTCCGAGTGTTTTTCGTCTATTTCGATGGTGGTTTTATGGATTATATCGTCCACGTACAATGGCTCCTCTGAATCTGAAAGGCCACTCAGATTGGCCGTTCGATCAAACATCGAAACCATGCTCATCTAAGCAAAAAAAGATTCGATTTTATATTCTGTTTCATCGAAGCACTGATAAATCATACTTTCTTCAAAATCTCTTTAAGACTGATTGATGACTCGATTTTGAACTTCGGCATATGAATAATACATTTGAAATAAATCATTCGATCCATAATTTGTGATAGAGTGTAATTGGTGAGCTGCGATTCAAGCGCATGAAGCCCTATCCGATTGTTTGGTAAAATGAGTACAAATGAGAAGTTTGATTTCGCGTAATCCAGTCGTATCGCTCTAGCATCAAGTTCATTCATACGAATACTCCAAAAATATTGACTAACCATCATAAAATCACGTTCGACGAATGCTGTTTCATTAATGTAGAAATTTCGTTTGCGAATCACCGGAAATGGTTTAACCCATGTGCCTTTCATAGAGATTGCATTAATCAGAACTGCGCGATAGTGATGGTCAACAAACATGTCTGGTTTGACGATTTCTTTGATCCGTTCATTTGTTTTCTCCTTTACAAATTTATTGATCATTTCTGCGGTTATATTCGCTTTCGTAAAGTCCACTGACTCAGCACCTGAAAACAACTTAACGGCAGCCACTTCTTGGAAACTCGGTTTCAATTGAAAACCTTGTTGCACATAAAGTCGATTAGCAACCATTAGCTTGGACTTTCCAGCGTTTTTCTCCAGCGATACGTAATACTGGTGGAATCGATCAGCTTATGTAGCGTTTGCATCGCTCAAATGCAGCCCATTCCGCAATTCGTCAAAAGTGATGCCATCAGATGCTTGCGAGATGAGTGAAAGCGCCATCGTTGCCGAAAAGGGGGACACAAGCATACTTCCAACCGCAGATTGAGCACATTGCTATATCTCAGTGCCAAAAAAATATTATGATTCAACAAATTTCGGGCTTATTTTGAATAATACCTGATAAAATTTCTTCGCAAAACTCGAAATTCCAGCGGTAAATTCATCAATTTGGGTATTTGGAGTGACCTCTGAACAAGTTGCAAGTAGGATCGATGAGAATAACACCAACATTTTTCCCAAAATATTCAACTTTTATTTTTTTGCATTCATCTTTTTCAACGCTAGGGTTTGTGCAAACGTAACGTTCAAACAGTTGCCTACAACTGAAATTGTCTTTTATGGAATGAAACTGAAGCGAAAAATATCAAAATTATGAATACTTCCTGTGTTTTGAAAACACAAGTTAAATTTCAACAATAGTAATACCAAAAAAGACTAAATGAACTTAATCGAATCAAATGATTCCAAAAATTCATGACAATATAACTTATTGTAGATGTAAGCCCTACCTTAAGCAGATGTTTATTTAGGCAGCTTAAACAAGATTCCAAAGATTTACTTTTTCGTATCGCTCTGCACAAGTTGAATGTTGTAATAATTTTGTTACATTCATAGATTTGAGTGAAATCGATTCATAGTTATTTTCATTGCTATCGTCACCATACCCAATGATTAAGCGGAGTTAAAGGAATGACCAATCGTATCATCTCCGTTTGTATTGCCTTGAAATTCGATTTGGAAAAAGAAGGATCGTCAAGACCATGGAACCACATCGTCGACCAAATTTGCATGTTCTGAAAGCACCAAAAGTAAGTTGAAGACATTCTTCTGAACAAATGTTTACATTGAACTGTTCAATTTTGAAGCTACTAAAAATGGCATTTAACAATTGAATTCCGAATACTTTTATGATGAAAGAAGTATTTTTTAAATATTCATAGAAAAACAATGATTCCTTCGCAAAAACAGCAAAGAGAACAAGTTGTGAAATCTGATCAGCCTGTCAGAACGACTGAATGTCTGAATAACTTATATTTGATTCGTCGAATGCTAACTATTTGCTCACCGAATGCTCTTTGGATACATGATCGATATGATCGAATTGTGGACCAGTCATATTCAACATTTGTGTCAATTAGAGAACAATGCAAACGAGTATATCGTGCTTGCTAATTGTAAGACTAAATGTGTGAAACACACACACATTTTCGTGTTGTCAGTAAACGACCTAGCGAGCGAGCAATCATTGCAATCTATTTGCGTCAACAGAACTTTGCTCTGCTATTTTTTTTTTCAATTGAAAATAGCTCGAATCACTGGGCAACGTATAAATTGGTTCTAACTGATAATGTTTCTGTCGGTCTCCAAACATTTCTATCGGTCATTTTGGTTCGCTTTATCAATAAACAAAATTAACTCGAAATTATCAATAGAAAAGAAGAAAGAGAAGAAAAATCCGTCATTTATTTTCATATACATATTCTTTTTGTATTTATTCCATTTTGTTGTGACTTATCGCTCTCGCTTACTGTATAAGTGTACACATCGCTGAAATATATATGCATAGCTGTTCACTGCGAATCTTCACAAATCATAAGACGCTCACACTCTTTTTCTATCAAACATCACTGTTTGTATATATATATATATAAATAACTGAAAAGTAAATTTTGTAAACGACCAGTTCGAATATACATTTTTTTTTTTAGATAAGGAACGATAGCAGTTGACAATGAATATCGGGCGAAGGAAAATAAAATGCTCCGTATTCCATTGAAAATATAAAGATCAAACATTCGCTATGCTTTCAATTCACTTATAAGCTAAATATTCACTTGTTGAGTGTGTATTGATTTTTGTTGTTGCACGTATCGAGAGCGTTTCCAGTATAAATGAAAATATTTCTCCAAAAATGTGGGAAATATTCAATTAATTTCTTTTTTTGATTGCATCAATGTTACAATAATATTTCATAATATTCAATATATATATATTAGATAAATTTCTTAGCAACTATCTAGTTTTGTTGTGAATTCATTTTTTTTTTTTTACACATTTTCGACTGATTAAAGTCGTGTTTTTTTTTGACGCGAATTTTTTTCTCCAGAATTTTTAATTCGTAGGAATGCAGTTAGCCAAACAAAGGATTTTCTTTACACAAATACACAAGAGGGACGCGAGGGGATACATTTATCTCTGTACACAAGATGTTTTTTCTTATAAAATCAAAAAAACAACTATTTTAGTGAGGATTTTTCCAGAACATTTTCAGTGTGATAGGTACATTCAGTCAGCAACTGTATGATAACGCTTTCATTTTTCCTTCGAATTTATTTTAATGGTGTTTACAATTAAGTATCGCTGCAATGAACATTCTTTTTTTTTTTGTTTGAGATGCGTATAAATATCAAATTACGTGCACGACACAAAATTCCACATTGCTAATTTCGATGTCTGATGTTAAATTTTGGTTTAGCTTGATTTTGTTGTTACAGTATTTTGGGGGAAATGTTCAATTCCGATGTGAGAGGGACACGTCGAGGCAAAAGCAATTTGGAGAGCACATTTTATAGTAAATTGATGACGACAATAAACTAAGGCCAAACTGCAGCTAGGTCCCAGATTTTGATTACTCTGTCTTGGCCAACGGTTAGCAAACGCTGAAAAAAGAAAGTGTTCAAAGTGATTAAAATGAGGAAAATTTCAAAAATCATCGCAAGTTCCTTGTCGTTGAATTGAAAACATACTTTACGACTTTCGTCTAAGTCCATCGATACCACGCTGTGTTTAACATCGTGAAATGAGGCCAACGAAGGTCGCCTGTAAATGAAATATTGATTTAGTATGGAATTTCATAGGCATGATGCAAAATCAATTAAAAAAAAACGTAAACATTTTGAATGGCATATTGAAAAACAAATAGATTGAACCGTCCTTTGTTCATCTATACACCGCTCTTTCATAATTCAACAGTGTGCTATTTTCGTTACTCACTCGCATGTTTTCAGCTGATTGTAGCATGGATCGCATACTCGAACATCAAACTCAAAGCCCATTATCGGTATATTAATGCGATTGCTTGAGCATTTATCGCATATAGCGCGACCGCAATTTCTGCAATGATGTTGTCTGATACCGATTTGTCGTTGATCCATCATGGCACGAAGATTCCAGAAAAATGGCCGAGTACACGCTTGACATGTGTCCGATTCAACCCATTCGCACACTTCTTTTCGCATTGCATTCATCTCCCAGAAAACGAGCACCGAATCTTCACCCGCTGAAATCAACTGTTGCGTTGTGTTGGCGAATTTCAACGCAGCCACTTTGTTGCTGAAATTTTGGGGGAAAATGAGATTTATTGTGTGTGCAATTGGTTGATGGAAAATATGACCGAAAACCAAAAAGAAGTGAAGAAGAAAGTGAAAAGCGAAAAATGGGCAAAAAAAAAATACACAGAAAGAAAGCCATAAAAAGATAAAAAAGCAAAGAAAGAAATCGACAACCAAAAATAGATGAGAAATAATAAAAGAAAGTAATATCAGAGACAGAAGCCAAATGCCAATTTTAATCGGAGTTGTTGACATTTTGGCATCGTATAAAATTGATACGCATATTTACTTACTTATGACCTTGTAATTCATAAACTGTTCCGCGTCTGCCGCCAACATCCCAAACAATAACCGATTGATCACATGATCCGCTGAACAGAAGCTGTGGGCCAGCAACCCAGCTCAGCGAGCGAATCGAACCGGTATGACCCTTGAATGTGGTCACAAATTGAGCACCGCCGGTATCCAAACGCAACATTGTTATTTGCCCACCTGAGTCACCGATAAATACGTACTGCGCCTGTGAATCATATCTGCATGACGCGAGTAATAACACGTGATGTAAGGAAAAAAATTTAATTGGATTTGATGTAAGCCCAAAGAAGAAACTAAAATCACTTGAAAAAAAAAATTGATCGATATAATTGCAAAGTATGTAAAAGTAAAAGCCAAAAACGGCGCGTAATTTTGTTTCATCATTAAAAAAAGGATACTGAAGTGCCGAGCACATCGATTCGAATGTATAGCCACCAAGACGGCTCGCTGTATCGGTGCTGTGAAACGAGAATAGTTTATCTCTGCCACAGGAGAGAATCCATCCGGTTTTTGGGGCAAAGCAAGATCCAGTCACACGAGCCTGATGTGCCAAATAGTCTCGAATCATTGTCAAACTATTGCAATCATTCGATAATTTGTACTGTGATACGGTGCCATTGTCTTGTCCAATGAACAGTTGCCGCGTCAACGAGTGATAATCAACCGATGTACAACCCGATGGCATATACTGACATATACTCGGCCAATATTGACCCGAATCACGTCGTAACCAAACACGAATCGTTCTGTAATAGAAAAAAAAATCAAGTACAAAAATTCAATTGGTCTGGTTGGTTTTTTTTTGTTGTCGAAGTCTTTTTTTTTTATCAAACTTAGTGATAATTATCACAATCCACCCATTCAAGTTCACATGTTTGAACACACTGATTCTCACTTACTTGTCATCTGAAACACTGATAACACCATCTTCACCATTTATGAAAATCGCTGCATTTATGTCGTCCGCTGTGCCTTCCAATTTGCTCAACAATTCCGGTTTGTTTACGGTGCTAAAGCGATCGTTTGCATTGCGCGGAGCTGGTTTAATTTCTGCTGCCATTATTTATCGCTATAATAAATTTCTCTCTTTCGCTGTTCTGTCAATTACAGAATTCGTAGGCGATACACTTTCTCTGTTTTATTGTTGTTTGTTTAATTGTTACAATTGGACTATTTCGTCGTCCACGTTTTTGAAATTTCGAAATGAAAAAAATCGAACTCAATTTATTACCACAAATAAAAGAAAAATCCCCATGAAAACTACTGGGATGATTCAGAATTAATTGTTTATATGTTTATGAACGGATACAGCTTCTGTGTTGCTGTGTGAATCTGACTAACAACTAGAAATGAAAATATATATCTTTCTTGCGATGAACGATTGACGTTTGCTATGATTCCACATACACACGCACACTACGTGCTACGGTGGTGAATACATACGCATTTATGTTTGTGCAACATCGACCATTTCAACACGACTACGTTTGTCTCATTCTACTTGTCAACGCTCCGATTCTATTTGGTTGCGAACAGAGACAGCTGACACCGTTGAAACTATCGAGCCATGTCTCGTTGTGTTCACTGACACAAAACTCACCATGGTGAGGTGTATTCAACACACGACGGCAAAACGTCAGTTGAAATGAATTCAACATGAATTTCATTCGTATTTGTTGCCCGTTTATTTACACCCATCGCATCTATTCCATTTGTTATCAATATAAAAAATGACTTATCATACAAAAGCCACGCCGCAGAGCGAATGGGTTTTCACTTTAAAATCACACAATGCAAATTTGTCAAGATTAATTGAATATTATGTTGTCGTTATTTTTGCCTTCAATAGAGGAATCGTAATTAATTAATAGTATTATTGTTTGCCCATCAAACCCTAAATGAATGGGCCTGACTTGTTTGTTCCATTGTTTGTTTGATTATAACCAGCAAAAATATCTTGCCCTTTTATTATTGCCGAGTTCATCACTCAAAACAACACAAATTTATTACGATTTTGTTCACCGAATTATGGAATTTATCTCTCTTGCATTTTGTTGATGATAATTTTTTAATTGCTAGATGAATGCACAAAAGCAACCCATTGTTTACATGTTTTTTTTTCTCGTTCGATTCGATTGTGGCGAACGGGAAAAATCACAAGACTTTTCTATGCACACACACACACACACACACACACACACAAACGCACACAGTTCAGAGTTTTTCCACATACATGCACTCACCACACACACATGTTATACCACAATGCAACTTTTTTTCACTTCATTGCAATCAAAACAAATGATGAAAAAAAAAAATTCTTTACACACCGAACTGACAACAAAACACACCGTTGGCATATATATGATTTGACTTGAACGAGCATGCAATCGAAAATCACTTCCAATTACGTTATTACTACTTGAGCACGCATCAAAATTTTTGCAATTTAAATTTGACCACATTTTAACTTGACTTGGTGTGTATTTCCTATTCCATTGCTTGAAACCGAACACACAATGGAAATGGGAAGAAAAAAAAACAACAATAGCCGAACCCACTGTGCACTGAGTAAAAGTGTGCAAATGCGTCTGTTCCATTTGATATATGTAACCAAATAGCAATATGAATGCAGAAGGAAAGAAATAAGCCAAACATAATATTTACGGCAATAAAGTGCGGGAGCGCTAGTTTTGTGGCTTTAAAATTGAAATTCATATCTATAGGTACTAAAGCTTTAATGAAAAATACACAGACAATTTCTAAAAATACCCAAACGTTGCATTAAAAATAGAGATCATAAAACTGTTGATTAATGTCATAAAATTTTAAAGTCTAAATGATTGTTTTAGATAATGAGATTATCAGGTCCAAAATTTACAGGAGCCGTCAACCGATTTGATGAATAAAATCACGTTTATTCGGTATTCAATCACGTGTTATTAGTTTGAACTTTTGATTTCTCGATCATTTATACTCTAGTTTATACCTACAGATTTTGATTCAACGATTCAATTTTTTACGCATATTTAGATTCATTCATCAATCATCACTTTTATCTAATCAAACTTAAATTTCAAAAATTCGTCGCAACTTAGAAAGTAGGTGTTTGCAAGTCATTTGTTTCAGTCGAAATAATCATCGAATTTGCCACTTGAAATGTGTTGGTTCGTTGAATAAGTGGTCGATAGTGTGTTTGATACGGCTCAGCTTAATCGCATTAAATGCTATAATTCCCCTCATTTCGATTGTGTTTATTTGATTGTTGGTTTGTTTGTTTTTTTTTTTTGTTCAGTTGAAAAGAGGAAAACCGTCGTCGTTTGCTACAGCTCGCATTTGTGAATGTCTTTCTCAAGCTCGACTTTTTCCACCGATTTAAACTTCACGTTTCAATCTCAATTCATATTTATGCGCACAGCTAATGAGAAAGAGAATTATAACAAAATGTGAAGTCAAATTAGCATATATCTAAACGATTTGTTTGCCAGACGGAAAAAAGGTAGAGGAGAAGGAAAAGGTAGGAAATCACATAATAAACTAGAGACGACATTGGTGTTGAAAGCCCTCACATCACGTAATTTTGTATCATTTTGTAATCATAATTTTTGATAGATATGTGAGGCTGCAAACGGTTATTATACTTTGGAAATTATATCATTTTAAGTCAGCACGAGAGAAAAAAGCTACAAAAAAACAAAGACTTTGAAGCAAAAGTCTCTCATGCTGACGAAAGACGACTTCCAATCAAGCGACGATTCATTTCCTACAACAATATCATTCGCATGTGCATTCATTTGCCAAGCAGCAGCAGCAACAGCAACTGATGATGATTGCTTACACAGTGTAATTTGGATGTGCGATTGCAGACGTAGTACAAAGAACCGAGCCGATGTTGCAATTTCGACTTGAATTAATTTTTTAATTCGAGCAGGCGAGTGAGCGAGCGAGCGAGCAAACGGCTGGCTGTTGTTGTTTTATTCCGATGGACAGCATGCAACGCAGTAAATTCAATTGAGACCAAACGAGATGTGTGAAACAGATAAACTAGAATAGATTCATCTTCTTGCACGCAAAGCTCCCGGTTAATGTATACAATTCCGAAATCGATCGAAATCAGTGTTGCATTCGGCGAGCGCAACAGTGTTCGTATGTGTGTGTATGCTGAGGTATAGGTGTGTTTGGATTGGAGAATGCGGTGATGATCTTGCGGCACAGGTGCATATTTAAATGGCAGCAGAAGAATGGGTTTGTGTGTGCATCGCTGCTGTGTTAAAAACTGGCGCATGGTCAAATTTTGTCGTTTTTAATGTAAACTAATTTAAATATCATAACACAGCGCACACATCGCAGCTAGCTATACACACAGCCATCCACACACATTTTTACGGCTTCGACGGTGATGCGACGAGACCATAATAGCGGTTCGAGCCAGTACATACACGTACTTACGGCACATATCATGCAATTGGAAAACTCGTTTTATCGGTATTATTCTGTTGTGTGTTCGCTCGGATTTCAGTGGAAAACCGACTCGCCAAAGGTCACATTTACAACCGTCGTCATGAAGTTCAAGAACCATGCCAGCGAATCGAGTTAATTTCGAAATTTGCACAACTGAACTTTGCTAGGTGGAAAAAACATTTTCTTCGATTCATAAACGACAAGTGTTTTTTTTTCGCTTTGTGTGTTTTTTTCTTCACTTCGGTGTATTTTTTGACACCAACACAAATGGTAATGATGGCAAAGAAAAAGCAGAAGAAAAAACACGTACAGAATCTCTCGTGTCGAAAAATTTCAATGGTTCCGCATGTGAATATGCGATGCAAACGCATATATAGATTGAATGTAGATCGCATGAGAATTCAATGCCCTACCATAAAGGTAAGTTATTGTATGCTAAAGCAGCTTACGCAGAGAGTTCGAAGCAACACGATTGACGCTGTCTCAGTTCCCTTGTTGTCTCTTCGTACATTTCTCTCTCTCTCGCTCTATCTATCTGTCTATGCTTTCGATCGTCGATTCCATTGTGTGAGGCGCGCTTTGAATGAACACACACATAGCCGCATTCGACGCATTCACATACATAGGTGCGCACATAAACATACACTCGCCAAAGATACACACCGCTCGCTACCTGTTTGGGAATTTTCGTACAACACACTCACTCGAATTTCATTTCGAACTTATCTGTCCAGTTTAGTTCTGTACTTGGTAAGTGAACGAACGCGCTGCTTTCCGATCGTTGTCATTTCGAATTCGGCTCTGCTGCGGTGTTCTATCCACACATTATATATACTTTTCAGTGAGGGGTTTTTCCCTACGTGTGTTCTTTACTTCATACACACGTATATTTTTTGTTGTCATTTTCAAGTGTTGTTCCGATCGAATGCGTTTTGTGTGTGTTTCATTTGGTGTGTGGCATTTAATTTTTAGTTTGGTCGAAAGAATCAATTTTTTTTTTGTTTCGTTCATTGTTAATTTTTTGTTTCGATTTGAAACAAAAATGCTCAATGAATCATAGTGTTTTGGAAATTGCAACGTCGACTCGACTTCGATCTCGCGTTGGATAGAAAATAAAAAAGTGCAACTTGTTGCGAACTACGCCTCGATACGAAGAAATAAGAGGAAGAAGAGAAATAAAACGGCAAAATGATCATTGGGTGAAAAGTACAGCACACAACGAATGGCCAGCACCGCACCGCTGTGTATATATGATATATGTAGAGAGTTTAGAATCTTTTTCGCTTGATGTTTCATTTTGATTACGTGTACACGTCTTTCTTTCTGGTGTGTATCTCGCTTGGTCGTTCTTTGACGTTGTTATTTTGAGTATTTTTTTTTTCATTTCATTTTTTGTTGTTGTTGTTGTTGTTGTAACTTCTTCGTCTTTTGTGATAATTGAACCGCAAAGGTTCAACACGATCGTCTATTTTATCATCGTATATGGCAATAGGGAAATGGCCGAGTGTCATTTTTCATAACCAAACATTAAATTTCAATCAAGCGAAATATTCTCTCTCTCACTCGAAAATAAATAACAATCAGAGGCCAAGCCGCAAGCGAAAAAGAAGAGAAGAATCCAAGTGAACTAGAGAGAGAGAGAGAGAGAGAAAAAATAGACAAAAAAATCACATATATAGAAAATATTGATCTAATTATATACATTCCAGCGCAAAAATTGCTATGCGGATGACTTGTGAGCGTGTGCACTTTTGTTGTTGTTGTTGTTGCGAGAACTCAAATTTTTTAAAGTGAAGTGGCAATTGTTTGGAAATATGTAAATAAGTTTCGTTTGTATATCTTTCTTTCTCCGTTTCTAGATACGAAGTACAAGAAGTGGCAGCTCTTATTTCTCTCAACTGAAACTAAAAAGAAGGAGAAAAAAAAAAGTAAACAAAATAATTAACCATCGAAATTAAAACAAAATTAACGATTATAATGATATTTTAGTTCCATTGTGAAACCCACTTTTTTCGAGAGTGTGTGTGTGTGTGTGTTTGTGCTGGTGATGTGTGTTTAGTTGAAAGAGAAATTTGAATAGCGAACAATCAGTGGTACCGAAAAAAAAAATTCATCAAACAGCGACGCTCATTGTGTATCGAATACTAATTAAAAGTCAAGCAAAGAAATAACAGCAAAAAAAAAGAAAAAAAAGAAAAAAAGAAAAAAAAGAAAAAAAGAAAAAAAAATGAAATTCGGAAATAAGATCACCAAGGCAGTGAAATTCAATTGAATGTAAATATATCTAGTGTGCTGCCGAGTAGTGTGTATTCTTTGTGTGTGTTGTGTTGCTGTGTGTGAATTCTTTCACGAAGAACTTCGGTCATCGCCAGTGGAATAGCGATCGCTTGATGACACCAACCACTTTATGACACAGCAGGAATGCTCGTTAGACGCGTGGAAATTGTAGCTTAAGCGGAATTTTTCTAACGACCCAATTAAAATTCGAGGATCACACAGCTTTTTCTTTGTGTATCACTTTGACACTGGTAAATATATTGCATGTAGTTTCTTTTCTTTGTTTCAACATCATTCGGTTTTCAAGTTGAAACTTTCAACGACAAGCCTCTGTTAGAATAAATAATCATTAAATACGCATGATTTACATTCACCTTCTGTGAAAAAAACAAATAAACGGCTTTTCAAATGGAATCCCATCAACCAAATTCAAGTGGTAAACGAAGTGTTTCTTCGAAGCGAGCAAACAAATCGGAAGAAAATATCATTTTGAAAGATCATCGTCGACATACGGATCCTTTCTAATGCATGCACTTGAATAAATTGTTTACGATTCTATGCGCGGTGGTCGTCTTCCGTTTTAGTGAATTCACACTTTCATAAATTACGGCCGTTTCAATACTGCACCCGCAGCTCGACTCGAAACTCTCATAAAAGAAATGGCTTTTCATTTATATCAAAAACATTTTCGTTTGAATATTAATTAAAAGAAAGAAGAAAAAAAAAATTTGAGTGTGTGCTTGGCTCTACGTTGATTAGTTTAGTTTTTGTTTTTCATTCCGTTTCTTTCGCTGTTTGGTCGGACACGAATCCAAGTCATAGAAACTCATAAAAATCATATCTATACATTTGCTGTATTGTGCTTTTTTTTCGCTGCTTCTGCCAACAAATTATAAATTTATTAACTGTAATGCTTCGACGCATTACAGCTACGGCAGCAAATCAACTCAACCAACGTACAATCTATTACAATTTAAATCACGATATGTCGGTGTGTATGTGTGGAGTATAGCAGAGGTACAGATAAAACGAGGAAGAATAAATATAAAAATAATAATGCTACATTTATAGCGAAAAAAAGGCAGCATACAACATAACACACCACGAAGCAAGACACAGACACAAGTCTATCTCTCTCTCTCTCTCGGGGTGTTCATTGAAGAAACACATGCATTTTAAATGGCAGCCAATATGGTCGTTTCTGATTGACGGTGTGTCTATCAGCCGTTTTGTTGTTCATGTATGGCGGAAATTCAGTTCACACTCGGCAAAAAGCCAAGCACAACTACCATCAAACACATCTACCGAAAGGAAGAGAGAGACGCAAAGAGCGACCAAATGAAAAATCGAATTAAAATGGAGCTGCAATATATAACAAGCGATAAAACGGAGCTAAGAATCATTCTTTTACTTCAACATTCTCTGTCCCGTGTCTTCTTGGGTGCCAGCGAAAGAGTGTTTTTTCCCTTCTTCTCTTTATAATTGAACGTAATGTGCTATGTTACGGAATGTTGGTTGTCTTTTTTTTCTCTCTTCAAAAGACGATTGCACCAATTCTGTCCGAACACACTCACCACACACGAGATATTCCGTGCTGCTCTATAGGTGTGCAATTGCAAATGAGAGAGCTGGCTGTCGATCGACTTTTTCTTCGCTCTCTCCCTCTCTACCAGTTTTTGCATTGCGCGAACAACGAAACACATAAATATGTTAACTCTCGACCGTTTCTCGGCCGTTTTACTTTTGCTCGACGACGTTATATCACTCTACAAGAACCAGTCTGCGCTCTTTCTCTCTCTCTCTCTCTCTATCCAAAAGTGCTTATTATAATCTCACTGTAAATTATTAGTTCCCCTTTGCTGCGTTTTATCACTGCTGAGTGGATGTGGTGGAGTGTATGTGGTGGTGTGTGTGTGCAGTGTGCACATAGAATTGGTGCTCTTTTCGAACTTTTTTCCGAAATCAGATTTCTCATTCGAGAGAGGAATGCGTATGGATCAAGAATCGTCACCGGTTTTAATTTTTTTCTTTCAGTTTTCTTTTTCGTGATCGTTAAGAAAAGAAGACTCGTGAGAGATGGATAGAGAGAAAGAAAGAGATTTTTCGGTCTTGATATTCCAAAACAACAATGTTCAATACCAAATTCAGCGCGTGTTAAATGGAAACCGTTAAAACATTTTCCCGCAGCAGCTCGTTCTTGTTTCGTCGTCGTCTTCCTCGTCTTTCCTCGAATCAACGCTGATTGATTCAATTGACAGATTGTTGTTTTTACAACTATTTTATGGTCAGACATTACTTTTTTGTCTACGCTAAGAAAATGAAGCAGCCGAGTCGATAAAGAGAGAATAACTAGGTTGATGTAAAGTTTACCAGGTATACCTGGCAAACGTGTATACTTCATACGCATAAAAATCGAAAATTTAAACACAATAAGTGTTTGTTTAACGGTTGATTTGATGGATGCTCAAGACAATGTGGTTTGAGAAATTTCGGCCAAAAGAGAGAAACGCAACGTTTTTTTGAGCAAATACTGCGGCATCTCAATGTGAATTTCCATTGAAACTGAAATCGCGGAGAGCGTCTCGAAGAAAAAAAAACGTTTTTAATCTAAACCATTTTAGCATGTCGATGTCATTGATTGAATTTCATTTTCTCATAAAATCGAAAAATTTGATCGGCAATGTTGATTGCTCGTGAAATTCAATTCATTGAATTGAGTATTTTAATATTCACAAAACAAACGATGACTCTTCTTCACTCTTCTGTTGTGATTTGCTCATGGCTCATCCTGAAAAAAAAACCAAATATTCATTTGATCGATATTTTCGATTTTTAATCATCAACTCTAGTAGATCGCCGATGCTGATACCGGAATGTTTTATATATTAATGCAATACGAATGTGCAAAATAAACAGTAGAAAGTGTTTCTTTTGCATTTTTAAGTGGGTTTGAACTCGTTTTCAAACAAACGAAACGAAAAAATCCAATATCCAATCAAATGGCCGATTTTTTTTCTCTATTGAATATAAAAGTGAGGCTTGATTCAAAATTCGTTGAATTAAGCTTAAAAATTGAATTTCCTGGTTTTTCTTTTTGTCGTATCGATTTTTGACCCAGTTCAACGGGCCAAATATAACGAGCTTCCGATTGTGTTAACGATGCAAAGTCTGTGTGTTTCGATTTTTGAATTGCGGATTCTATCGTGCTTTTTGATTGTAATCAGTTTTAAGTCTGAGTATCGTACACTATATCAGCCGATCAAAACATGTAAATCCATTTGGAGGCGAAGATATTGAACGCTTTTATCTCGTTTAATTTTCAACTAATTGAATTCTTTCCAATATAAATCACGCCAGCAAAGAGAGTGGCGTTTGAAGAAGAGGAAACAAATCAGTCGATGACCCAATCAAATGTGAAAAATTTACCGACAGAGTGCATAATGTTGAACTACATAATTTATTAATTTTTTTTCTGCCAAATTCTAAACGATTTATTGATTATTTTTTTTGTACATATCTTATCAGTAATACGCTTGATAACAAGTGAAAGTCTGTGCTCCACACAAAATATGCATTCAATCGTAAATCGGTTGACGAAACACTTAAATTTACGGTGCGCTTTTATGAAACCAATATCGGAAATTGCTTCTTACGTATCGATAATTTTTACTTTCTTTCAAGTGAATTGATTGCGTCGGTGATTAATGCGTTTTTTTTTCGATTCTGTTTTCGAAGAGGAAGTTTCAATGGAAGAAAGGGGAAGTGTATGTGAAGAAAAAGTCTTCTCAATGATCAACGATCGTCGTCAATATTAAAATATATTAGTTATCAAGAATTTTCAATCAATTTCAAATTGATTTTTTTTTTGAATACATAATGATGCCCAAAAGAAACGGCCAATATGTTTATACGCTGTCTATCCGCCGAAAATACACTACAATATATATTCACGCTTATCGGACGCCGAATTCAATATATATTCTAGTGTATTTTCGGCGTATTCTTCAGCGTGAAACATATTGAAACATATTCAGGCGCCCTCTGATGGCCATGAATGCATTCATTGATTCAATATGTTTCACGCTGAAGAATACACCGAAAATACACTAGAATATATATTGAATTCGGCGTCCAATAAGCGTGAATATATATTGTAGTGTATTTTTGGCGGATAGACAGCGTATAAACATATTGGCCGTTTCTCTTGGGTGAGGCAACGTCTAGTCTTGAAAGATTTCATTGGGTTATTTTCTGATTTTGATAAATTAAAAAAAAAATTGATGAAATAAAAACCTTTTCCGATTTGTGTTTGAACTCGTGTACGTCAACTGAATCTTCCGGTGTGAAAATCCGTCAAAATACCCGTCAAACTTAGACAGAAATGTGTCTTGTGTTGTTGAAACAACACATCTCATAATACGACGTCCAAATCGATTGATGAAAAGACATTTCCTACAAAACTCAAAGTAAAATCTTTCAACGCACCAAGCGCGTCGCACTTACAAAAAGTGTTTATTCTAAGCAGTTGTCATTCATCGCAGCTTTGAAATGGTTCTCATCATTTCGATGTTTCGTTTGAACTACTTGCTCATCTGCATGTCAATGTTGTGTTTTTATCGTATTGTGAAATGACATATTCGTTGATTGTTTTTGAAGCCCCAATCCAGTTTCAAGTAGAAAAATAAAAGTTAAATAATTGTAGAAAAAGAGTAACAAATATGTAAAAGTTCTCTTCAAATGATGAAGAAAACATACATTAATGTTTGCGTTGGGAAAACCTGTTGAAATCCACTCAACAGTTTGGAATAGGAAAAGAGAGAGAGAGAGAGAGAGAGAGAGAGAGAGAGGGAGAGAGAGAGAGAGAGGGAGAGAAAGATAAAAAACCTTTCAGTTAAATGCAAACATAACATTTATAGCAATAAATGTATAAATATATGTGGTTACTCCATAAAATACAGGATTTTGTTGCTGCATGACAAACAGAGAAAATAAGTATAATGCAATTACAATGTATTAGAAGAAGAATAAAAACTGGCAGACACAACTCGACATTCTTTCTCGTATTTTTTACAACGAATATGTTTACATATTTATTTTCATGCAAAATGGTTTCACATAAACAGTCGGAAAATGTTTCGGAGAAATACCATAGAAAACGTCATGCGTTTTAAAAGCAAATGCGTCAGTATTACTGACTCAGTAAACATATAAATGCAGAAATTTGTATCCACTTAAAATTGCGTAGAATAAACATCAATGCCAGGGTCGATTTAGATTTGCGAATATTATAGTTATTATGAAGTGGCGCCTTCGTTTTTCTTTTATTTTCGTGCAAAATTCGATTTTCACACCAAATTCTTGCGGCTCAAAAATCGTGTTTGCTTCAATTAAAAGCTCATACTTTAAGCCATATAGTAAAAAAGTATTTGTTCCAAAGGGTTTACATTTTATAGACGGATTTACCGTTAAACGGTGCTGTAATCATGGCATTTCTAACGTTTAAAAATGAGCTTAGATTGATCAATTATTATCGGTTCTTCAACAATACATATGTTAATTCAAATGTTTTTTTTTTTACCTTTCTGCCGTAAGAAGTCGTGAATATTACACAATATTTCCCTCAGACAACGGTAAAATCCGCAAAAATTGTAATAAAAATGTCTCCAAAATACCAAAAAACTTTACGAATACGAAAATGTGATGGATCATCAATTATAGCCATGAATACACCGTCCAACAACACAAACACACGCATCAAATTTAATCCGCACTGCGAATGCGTTGCCAAAAAGAACGCGTTCGAAATACGTGTTCGATGAAAGTTTATTCTCCAAAGAATCAATAGGCAAACGTGTAATAGTTTGACCTCGTTTCCAGAGTGTTTGCAAGTTCTGTCGATGCTTTCTTTCACAACAACAACAGCAAAACAAAACAAAATCTGTCTATTATCATGCATATTAGGAGTTAAATGAGCTCAAATTATTGCTCATTCATCGCGTTTACGTCGTGAATGTTTAGCTGTAAAATGAGTTTGTTTGTTGCTCTTAAATTTCGTTGTGCGTCGAACAATGAGAGTTTTTACTTTGAAAAAACCATTGAATGAACGCGCAATGTTGGTATATGTGTGTTTCTAGCTGGTTAATTAATATGTTGATTCTGTGGGCCATCTTTTGTGTTACTTCATCCAAAGAAGACGAGGCTTACAAACAGAAACAGAATGAGCCAGTCAAAACCTGTTGAAGAAACTGAAAATGGTCAGAAGCCGGCGATTCGGTGCTTTTGAAAATTTCTAAAGGTTTCAAAAGTCAACAAAAAATACTCATACTTCGAAGTAGAAAGCCACTGGGGAATCTGCCGTAAAAAAACCTACTGTTTTTTAGTACACAATTAATATTTCTCAGCGATGCTTAGATCAAACTTGTTCTGTCACTGCAGCGACTGTATCGAACGTATGTTTACTGTTAGGTTTTCAAGTTAAATTCCTGTAACTTACACTTCAAAACATGCATCGAAATAGCGTCCAACACTTAGTCGCACTGCGCGCACCTAATTCATTGCAAAAAATATATGCGGCAAAGCACAAGAACGAGACGACGACGCATCAGGCAGAAGAAAAAAACTTGTTTGTCAGAGTCAAATTGATTTGTTTATACGGTGTGTCGTTCGCTGGCTGTGCAATGTGCCAGAGAGAGAGAGAGAGAGAGAGAGAGAGAGAGAGAGAGAGAGAGAGAGAGAGAGAGAGCGAGTTACCAAATCGAAAAGACATTGACTTTGAAATGATCACGTTCAGCTTAATTTCACACGAACAAACAGCCGATTACCGCTTTCGCCATGACAAACACACGGTGTGTACAGACAAACACGATAATCCATGTAGCGCAAACATTGCGCAAACATATCTAATTAGAGTCGTCGCACCGAAAATAATCCAATCGCAATTAAAGGCAATAATAGATGATGTTCTGTGTTCGATGAACACGGTTCGTTCGTCTCATCCGACGTACATGTCACATACGAATCAATCGAACGACCTATTGCTCACTAGCCATTTCCAATCGCATTTGATGTGCACCATAGGCGCTAATGCCACGATTGTGCTTTTGTTTCCCGTTTGCGACCGGACTAGCAAACCAACATACATACATACATACATCTATCCATACCGGCACCATTTATACGTTCATTGAACGCAATCGCCAAGAGAATTACATAAGCGAGCTGTACGTACATAAAACCCGATTCTATTTTGGTCTATACATATTGTTCACATCACCTGCCTTTAGGCCCAGGTATCAAACTGGTATTGGTGATGTCTATTCTAAAGCTCGCGATGAGCCAAACGCGCGCTCACGCAAACACCGTTCAAATGTAGTTGTTACGTTGCATTTTATCCAGCCTACATCTCGACAGCAGTCAGCACCCGCTTCCGATTGCATGTTCCAAAGATGCAGTCGCGTTGAAAACACCCATAAAAATGGATGATGATTTTGTTCGTTTTTTTCTTTCTTTCGTTACGGACAAACGGTTACATTATAAATGATAATTTACTATGGTATTGCTTGCCTGCCTGCCTGCCTGCGTGCGTGCGTGCGCCAAACACACACAGACAAATACCTGTTGACCAATTTACTGTTATCTCGACAGAAGAAGAAGAAGTAGGAAAAGAAAAAAGTAACTCGTGATAAACATGCCTATTTGATTTTTACTGTTATTGTTATTGCTATATGATGGATCAACAGCCCCACAATAGCAAATTCCACATTCGTCATCACGTCACCGCAGACACTTGATCAAAATCAATTCGAAATTTCCACAGTAACCGAAAATTGATGTTGACATTTCTAGCTCTAGAGTATTTTGGTATTTTCAATGAATGAATGCTCATATTTTTTTGTTTGGTTTTTTTTTCTCGTTACAGGTTGTGAGAGGAAGTGTGTGGAGTACATTTTTGGGCGACGAAAACGTGTCAATGAAGTTGCAAAATGGTCATTGTAACACGAGTAAGTACCTTGTTCTCTTTCTTTATCTATAAAAAGTCCCATTTGCAGCAACACAGCCATAGACGCTACAGCAGCAAATCATGTGTCAAAAATGAACTTTCAACGAAACAAAATGCGAACCTCATTAAAAACAGCGAGCACAGTGATAAATGTGCTTTAGATAAGATAATTTGCGTGGAAATGAGCGTTAACTCATTTCGTCTGAATCTCTCACGAGAAAGGGAAATGCCAATTTCATAGGCCCGCATATTTTATTTTCACGCAGTTCCATTCGAAAAATACACACCGACAGACAGATAAACGCACACCGGCACAGCCACCGTTACTTTCGATGAACCACTGAATTCGATACACTCGTTTAATTACAACGCCGTCGTTAACGTCCATGAATTTTTCTACTGAGGTTATTTCGCTTGTTGCTGTTTTTTTTTCTTTGTTGTTGTTCGCTGTTCGTTCATTCTTTTTCCGAGTTTTAAATTTCACAATCAAATAATTTTATTTTGTTTTTTTTTTCAATCATAAACTAAAAGCGAGTCGTGTGGAAGTGTTCAAATAGTAAAACAAACCCAAATAACGACTAATGAAATTGTTTATTTTTATTATTATTATTATCGATGTTCTGCAAAGCGGAAAATTTATTTTGAAAAAAGAGAGAAAAAAAAGCAACCGAAATCCGTTGTAGTTTTATTGAAATGTGAAGTCGTCTGAAACGATATTGTATTTTTTTTTTCTGTTTTGTTCATATGTAACAATCGATATAGTTTGTTTTCGGGCGAATTAATTGCACTTTAAAAACTCGATTTTAACCGAATAACCCGTACGGTTTTAATTCTTTTAAATGACGTGCGCCGGTGGTATTGTTGTTGTTTTTGAATAGCAAATGCTTGCACAATCGTTCAGTCGGTGTGAAGTTACTTTCAATTGAAGCCCACAAAAGCCGAGTGAATGTACCGGAAAATAATTGGACTTATGAAACTTCCATCATGAAATTATAAATTGCAATGAAAATGACGACGACGACGACGACGACGACGACGAAAATGTAAATCGCTTGATTTTATCGAATTGAAATTCATCATATTTCGTCAGTTTTAATGCTTATGTGTGAGTGGATTCGGTGAACGTTTAACATTTTCCGTTTGAGAATTGCGCAAGACGACCAAGGAACCATGCTCATTTTTTCCGTAGAATGCACGAAATGTTTCGTTTGCCGAGCTCAACCTGCGTGCAAAATAATTATAAAAAAAAAAACAACAAATTATTAACTGGAGTCATTGTCGTGCACATTCGGTGTCATGCATTTGCGTTTACGATTCATACACAAAACAAAAACGAGTCTCTCACAATGATGGTGCGCGAGCACCACGATTTAAAACAAAATATGAAAAAAAATATCTCGTCAGAAATGGGCAAAAAAAAAACAACACTTGGAGATGAATGCGTGTAGTTAAACGAATTCGATGGCATGGAAATGAATGAGTATATGCGTCAAGTACATACCATCGGAGCAGTGAACGCAGCCCGATATTCGGGTGTGCGCCCGAGATAGAGAGAACGAGCATATTTTTTCGCTTTGTCAAATTGGGCTTTGTGTCAACAGGATGTGTCGGTTATAAAATGGTTCCACTCAGCTGATCTCGATGAAACACGAGCAGAATTACACAGCCAAAACAAAACCAGCACACAAGAAATATGGTGTACGCGGTGCGAGAGCGTTACAAAAATGCCGTCACATTGGATTGTTGTTGTTGCGTGTGCGTTATTTTTTTCGGTGTATTCCATCGGCTACATTGAAAAAGTTGAGTCTCAACGTTGAACCATGTGACTTTGTGAACAGAAGCGAGTACATAGGGCAAGGCAGACATATTCTCTGTTGTGTTTTTTTTTACCATGCGCAATCGTTTGTTTAAACTTTTGTTTAAAATGAAAATGAATGAATTGTCATTATATGTATGCTCACAACACAATACAAAAAAAAAACACACCCGAAGAAGTTGCATGGAAATGAGCACAAACACACTAACCGCAGTGAAAAGTATACAGACAGAGGAAAGCAACAACAAAAACAAAAAACAACAAAACATGACTCAAAAAATCATTAAATTAGATCGCTCATTGTTTAGTAATGTTTTCACCTTAGACACATCATCGACTGCAGCAGCACAGTCACACGCATCTCATTGGAAAATGGAGCAGCAACGGCGACGGCGGCTGCGCACAGTTAAAAAGCACAAGTTGATACTGTTGCTGCTGGTGCATCGTGTGCATAAATACTTTTTTTTTTTAGAATGAATTGTGCGATCGCGCGCAGCAAGAGCAGCAAAGAAAAGCGACGAATGAAAAGCAAAATGCACTCGCGATCTCCCCGAATATGTGTAACACAATGCACGCTTCCATGTTTCTCGGTTGGATTTCATTTTTCAGCGCACAACATACTACAGCGTACGACATCAAAAGTCGAAATATCTGAACAATACAACAACCGTAGCGAAATTCTTGTTCGCTTCTTCTCTCTTATTAGTTTTTTCTTCTTTATCTTCGTTTTGACGAAGTCGTTTAAGTTGAACGCGATGAAAAGTCGCATTTTGCATACATTTCACCATTCTTTGCATTCATTTCATATGCTCTACAGCTCGCAGCCAACATTTCTATAAACATTTCTGAATATATTCATCAAACATTTTAACATTCTGATTCGCAGTTTCGAAACTAAATGATTTCTGCTAGAGTTCATATCTAATTTTGTTTTTCTACTTATTATTGCTCGTGTGCTGTTGTTGCTTTGACTGTGTGTGCTATTGTGCCGTGATCACAAAATCGTCATTCTAACTGTTGAGTCACGTCTTTTAGCAACCATTTTTGTGTTAGAAATTCAGAATATTTTTTTTCGTTCGTTCGTTCTTTTATTCTTCGCTCCAAATATCTTGTTCTGCGCCAACAACGAAAATTGGGAAGCAGTAGCAAAATGCCATTAATTTTACGTGCTTTCAACTTGTTTCTCGCTTTCATCATACAATATATACCCATCAGCCGTTGCGTGCACAATTTGGTCTTGTACACCAAACAGAAAAATCGCTTTATTTCTCGGCAAAACAAGAAATAATTGCTCGTTTTTTTTTGTCTATTCCACACGACAGCGTACACAACGCTCACCGAACGACTACCTTTTTTCCATATTTTAATTCTTTGCTTTTTATCGTTTTTTTGTTTTTTGTTTTTGAAACAAAAGAACCACGAATTATGACAAAATGTCAAAATATAGAAAAAAGAAGAGAAAAAAAACATTCAAGGCGACTGTGAATACATTTTATTGTACTTTACCACCGGACGGATCTTTTTTTTATTTTCGCCAACTGAACATATGTGCTTTTGCCATTTTTAGAAGAATTGTGCATATTACAAATGGATTTAAATGATGTGTGTATGGGTTTACATTTCTAATTTGTGTTTTCTTTATCTCGAAACAGGGTGACTACATCTGGATTGAACCAGCCACTGGCAGAGAATTCGATGTAGCGATTGGAGCTCGTGTCACATCAGCCGAAGGCCGTCGAATTCAGGTGCAAGACGACGAAGGCGAAGAACAATGGCTCTCTCCCGAGCGACGCATCAAGGCGATGCATGCATCGTCTGTGTCCGGCGTCGAAGATATGATTTCACTTGGAGATCTACATGAAGCCGGCATCCTACGAAATCTACTCATTCGCTACAATGATAACCTAATTTATGTAAATATATTCACACATTTTCAACAAGCACCGATTAGAACTGTGATTTGAGACACATTTTGGAATATAACGAAATGTTTGCATACATTTCCATTTATGATGATTTCGAAATACAAACTAACCGATTCATTTTCACTTGCACAGACCTACACCGGCAGCATCTTAGTTGCTGTGAATCCGTATCAAATTCTGCCCATTTACACGGCCGACCAAATCAAATTGTATAAAGAACGCAAAATTGGCGAGCTGCCACCGCACATTTTCGCCATCGGTGACAATGCATACTCGAACATGAAGCGATACCGTCAAGACCAGTGCATTGTCATTTCGGGTGAATCGGGCGCCGGCAAAACGGAAAGCACAAAATTGATTTTACAATACTTGGCTGCCATCAGCGGTAAACATTCATGGATTGAACAGCAAATTTTAGAAGCGAATCCAATTCTTGAAGCATTTGGCAATGCCAAAACCATTCGGAATGATAATTCGTCTAGGTAAGACTTTACGCTTTGTTGAACAACATGTAAAAATGTTTTCCATTAATTGGAGCTTTCATTTGAGGCATGCTTGTTCATCAAAAATCACTTGCTGAAGACATTCCAAATTCATTCATTAATTTGCAAATTCATCAATTAAATGGCTCATATCAAATTGACATCGACTGACTTAACTCTCTTTTTCCTCTACAGATTCGGCAAATACATTGACATCCATTTCAATGGTCACGGTGTGATTGAAGGTGCTAAAATCGAACAGTATTTATTAGAAAAATCACGAATTGTATCACAAAATCGACATGAGCGAAACTATCACGTGTTTTATTGTTTGCTCGCTGGTTTATCGAATGAAGAAAAGCGCAAATTGGATCTTGGCAACGCGTCAGACTACAAGTAATTTCCAAATACATCCTATAACTTCATGTCAATCGTACAAATTGCTAAAAGCTTCCATTTTTATTTCGAAACAGATATTTAACCGGTGGTGATAGTATTTCATGCGAAGGTCGTGACGATGCTGCTGAATTTGCGGATATTCGATCAGCGATGAAAGTGCTGCTGTTTTCCGACGCAGAAATTTGGGAAATTCTAAAATTGTTAGCTGCTTTACTTCATTGCGGTAACATCAAATACAAAGCAACAGTCGTAGATAATTTAGACGCTACCGAAATTCCCGAGCACCTCAATGTTGAACGGGTAGCATCGCTGCTCGGTGTTCCAGTGCAGCAATTGATCGATGCATTGACACGTAAAACTCTCTTTGCGCATGGTGAAACCGTTGTGTCGACATTGTCTCGCGATCAGTCGGTGGATGTTCGCGATGCGTTCGTCAAAGGAATCTACGGTCGTATGTTTGTTTTAATCGTTAGAAAAATCAATAGTGCAATTTTCAAGCCACGATCAACATCACGGAATGCAATCGGTGTTTTGGACATTTTCGGTTTCGAAAACTTTGACAACAATAGCTTTGAACAGTTTTGCATAAATTATGCGAATGAAAATTTACAGCAATTTTTCGTGCAGCACATTTTCAAACTGGAACAAGAGGAGTACAATCACGAGGCAATCAATTGGCAACACATCGAATTCGTGGACAATCAAGATGCATTGGATTTGATTGCGATCAAACAGTTGAATATCATGGCTTTAATCGATGAAGAAGCCAAATTCCCAAAGGGAACCGACCACACTATGCTGGCCAAATTGCACAAAACCCATGGAGTGCACAAAAATTACTTGAAACCGAAGTCAGACATCAATACAAGCTTTGGACTGAATCACTTTGCTGGCGTTGTATTCTATGATACACGTGGATTTTTGGAGAAAAATCGCGATTCATTCAGCGCCGATTTGTTGCAATTGATAAATGTTTCACATAATAAATTCCTTCGAGCCGTTTTTGCTGAAGACATCGAAATGGGAGCGGAAACACGCAAGAGAACACCAACCCTTTCGACACAGTTCAAGAAGAGTCTTGATGCACTGATGAAAACGTTGAGCAATTGCCAGCCATTTTTCATTCGATGCATCAAACCGAATGAGTTTAAAAAGCCAATGATGTTTGATCGAACGTTGTCGTGCCGTCAGTTGCGTTATTCCGGCATGATGGAAACCATTCGAATCCGTCGTGCTGGCTATCCCATTCGCCATGGCTTCAGAGAATTCGTTGAACGATATCGATTCTTGATCAATGGAGTGCCACCAGCCCATCGAACCGATTGTCGATTGGCAACCGCCCGCATTTGTGCGGCAGTTTTGGGTAAAACTGACTATCAACTCGGTCACACAAAAGTATTTTTGAAAGATGCTCACGATTTATTCTTGGAACAAGAACGTGATCGAGTTTTGACACGAAAGATTTTAATCTTACAACGATCAATCCGAGGATGGGTGTATCGAAGACGATTCTTACGAATGAAAGCGGCTGCGATTACCATTCAAAAGCACTGGAAGGGCTATGCGCAGCGAAAGCGTTACAAGAAAATGCGTGTGGGTTACATGAGGTTGCAGGCGTTGATACGGTCGCGTGTGCTGTCACATCGATTCCGTCATTTGCGTGGCAACATTTGTCGGTTGCAAGCACACGCCCGTGGCTATTTGGTGCGCAGAGAATATGGCCAAAAAATGTGGGCAATTATAAAAATTCAGTCGCACGTACGCAAAATGATTGCCATGCGAAAGTATCATAAATTGCGTGAAGATTATCGCAAATACAACGAAGCGTTGCGCATTCGTCGAATGGAAGAGCAAGAGTTGCGACACCAAGGCAATAAGCATGCGAAGGAAATTGCCGAGAAACATTATCGAGAGCGTTTAAATGAGCTGGAGCGCCGAGATTTCGAACAGGAAATGGAGCAAAGACGAAAGGTTGAGGTGAAGAAAACGTTGATTAGCGATGCGGCTCGAAAGCAAGACGAACCAGTGGATGATAGTAAATTAGTTGAGGCAATGTTCGATTTCCTGCCGGATTCAAGCAGTGAAACGCCAACACCGCATGGTGGCCGAGAAACAAGTGTGTTTAACGATCTACCGGTTAATGCGGATAAAAATGAAGATGTCACACCTGTTCAAATGGTGTCCGAAGATGAAGAAGATTTGTCCGAGTTTAAATTTCAAAAATTCGCTGCCACATACTTCCAAGGCAATGTCACACATCAATATTCACGTAAACCATTAAAACATCCACTGTTGCCGCTTCACACACAAGGCGATCAACTCGCTGCACAAGCACTTTGGGTTACAATCTTACGATTCACCGGCGATTTGCCCGAACCACGCTATCAAACAATGGATCGAGACAATACATCGGTTATGTCAAAAGTGACAGCAACATTGGGCCGGAATTTTATTCGCAGCAAAGAATTTCAAGAAGCTCAAATGATGGGACTCGATCCAGAATCGTTTATCAAACAAAAGCCACGATCAATTCGACACAAATTAGTTTCGTTGACGCTGAAACGAAAGAACAAACTGGGCGAAGATGTTCGACGACGTTTGCAAGATGAAGAATACACTGCGGACAGTTACCAATCTTGGTTGGAATCACGACCCACATCCAATCTGGAGAAATTACATTTTATCATCGGTCATGGAATTCTACGTGCCGAACTCAGAGACGAGATCTACTGTCAAATCTGCAAACAACTCACGAACAACCCATCGAAATCATCACACGCCCGTGGATGGATCTTGCTTTCACTTTGTGTTGGCTGCTTTGCACCGTCAGAGAAATTTGTCAATTATATAAGAGCTTTTATTCGAGAAGGGCCACCGGGTATGTGCTGTGCACTCAATATCTAAATTATTTTCTCTATTTAATTGAAAAATATACTTGATTTGAACAAATGAGTTCAAATTTTCAATCAAAGTTAGAAGAAAAACTAACGAAATGTTCGAATTTCCATCTAGGCTATGCTCCATACTGTGAAGAACGTTTGAAACGCACCTTCAACAATGGTACACGAAATCAACCACCGTCTTGGTTGGAATTGCAAGCCACCAAATCGAAGAAACCAATCATGTTGCCCATCACATTTATGGATGGTAATACAAAAACACTGCTGGCCGACTCGGCTACGACTGCTCGGGAATTATGCAATCAATTGTCGGATAAAATTGCGCTGAAAGATCAATTCGGATTTTCCTTGTACATTGCACTCTTTGATAAAGTTTCGTCATTAGGTAAGAATTGATATCAAGATTGTTTTTCGATGAGACAAAGAAACCAGAAGAAAAAAGAATGTCTTTTCTCTTTAAATCAATCTAAAAACAACATAGTTTTAAATCTTCGAATATTTTGCCCTTAATTCGTGTATTTCATTCAATTTCATAGGAAGTGGTGGTGATCATGTAATGGATGCAATTTCTCAGTGCGAACAGTATGCAAAAGAGCAGGGAGCCCAAGAGCGTAACGCACCGTGGCGTCTATTCTTCCGCAAAGAGATATTTGCTCCTTGGCATGAGCCAACTGAGGATCAAGTTGCAACGAATTTAATCTATCAACAAGTGGTTCGTGGTGTGAAATTCGGTGAATATCGTTGTGACAAAGAGGAAGATTTGGCTATGATCGCCGCTCAACAATACTTTATCGAATACGGAACGGATATGTCAATGGAACGTCTATTTACATTACTACCAAATTTCATACCTGACTATTGTCTCACCGGCATCGAAAAAGCAATTGATCGTTGGGCAGCGCTCGTTTTGCAAGCCTACAAGAAGAGCTATTATCTCAAAGATAAAATTCCAGCGTTGAAAGTTAAAGAGGATATCGTCAGTTATGCAAAATATAAGTGGCCATTGTTGTTTTCACGTTTTTATGAAGCATACAGGTACATAGCGTTTCTTTCAATTCGTTTCAACTTCAACTTGAAATCATTACGATTTGTATGGAATTCCTGAGACTTTGAGAAATTTTCATTTCAATTTTTTGTTCAATTTTATAGAAATTCTGGACCAAATCTACCGAAGAATGATGTGATCATTGCAGTAAATTGGACCGGTGTTTACGTGGTTGATGATCAAGAGCAAGTTCTATTGGAATTGTCATTCCCTGAGATCACATCCGTTTCCAGTCAAAAAACAAACAAAGTTTTCACACAAACATTTAGTCTGTCGACCGTTCGCGCCGAAGAATTCACATTTCAAAGCCCAAATGCTGAAGATATACGAGATTTGGTCGTTTACTTCTTGGAAGGTCTCAAGAAAAGGTATGGTTTTGGCTAGAAATTAATCAAACAAAGCATGAAATGAGCATTACAGGATTTTGAATCGATGCAAATGAACATTTTTCAATTTTTTCTTGAACAGATCACGTTTTGTCATCGCTTTGCAAGATTATAAGGCACCTGGCGAAGGAACAAGCTTCTTGTCATTTATCAAAGGCGACTTGATTCTTTTAGAAGAAGATAATACGGGCGAAACTGTATTGAATAATGGATGGTGCATTGGTAAGTGTAATCGTTGATAATTTAAATGAAAATCAAACCAATTTTTTTTTTCTTTCGAACCAACATCAATATCAAAATTTCTTCAAGCGATTCCCAAATGAATCGAAACTATTTAATTTTTCCTTTTATCTTTCAATAGGTCGTTGTGAACGAACCGAAGACCGTGGTGATTTCCCTGCCGAAACGGTGTACGTTCTTCCAACTCTGACAAAACCACCGCAAGACATATTGGCTTTGTTCAGCATAGAAGAGGCGCACCATGGCCGTCGACTGAATGCCGTATCAAATGGTGGCACTGAAACACGTGAACGGCCACATACGCTGCAAGACTATGCACTGGATCACTTTAGACCGCCACCAAAACGGACAATGTCCAAAGCGTTGACGCTCAGCTCAAAACGGCACAGCGACGAACTGTGGAGATATTCGAGAGAACCGTTGAAGCAACCGTTGTTAAAAAAACTACAGGCCAAAGAAGAATTAGCCGAAGAGGCGTGTTTTGCATTTGCAGCCATTCTAAAGTACATGGGTGATTTGCCGTCAAAACGACCGCGCATCGGAAACGAAATTACCGATCACATTTTCGATGCACCGCTCAAACACGAAATCTTACGCGATGAAATTTACTGTCAGCTAATGAAGCAATTGACGGAGAATCGCAATCGAATTTCCGAAGAACGTGGATGGGAATTGATGTGGTTGGCAACGGGCCTCTTTGCGTGCAGTCAAAATTTATTGAAGGAACTATTTTTGTTTTTACGTAGTCGTCGTCATCCAATTTCACAGGATTCATTGCATCGTCTGCAAAAAACCATTCGAAATGGCCAACGAAAGTATCCACCGCATCAAGTTGAAGTCGAAGCTATTCAACATAAAACTACACAAATCTTCCATAAAGTCTACTTCCCCGATGATACGGATGAAGCCTTCGAAGTGGATTCATCGACGAGAGCAAAAGATTTCTGCCAAAGTATCTCGCAACGACTTGGGTTACGGTCAAGCGAAGGATTCAGTTTGTTTGTTAAAATCGCAGATAAAGTTATTTCCGTACCGGAAGGTGATTTTTTCTTTGATTTTGTGCGCCATTTGACCGATTGGATTAAGAAAGCGCGCTCAACACGCGACGGAACCAATCCACAGTTTACATATCAGGTATTTTTCATGAAGAAACTATGGACGAATACGGTGCCAGGCAAAGATCGAAACGCTGATTTGATATTCCACTACCATCAAGAGCTACCGAAACTATTGCGTGGCTATCACAAATGTTCGAAAGAAGAAGCAGCAAAATTGGCCGCTCTAGTCTATCGAGTTCGGTTCGGTGACAGTAAACAGGAACTGCAAGCAGTCCCGTAAGTTTCTCGGTTTGAGTTTAATCGATTCAATTTGGTTCATTTGTTCATTGTTGATGTTTTTCATCTTGCATTTTTGGCACATTCATCATTGTTGTCTAACACCTATAGCATTTTTATCTAAATAAACGTATTTTTACTCATTTCCATATATTTTTCACACAAACAGGCAATTGCTTCGGGATTTGGTTCCATCCGATTTAGTCAAAATTCAAGGTACAAGCGAATGGAAGCGCTTCATTACCACAATGTACACGCAAGATGCAGGCATGTCTTCGGAGGATGCTAAAGTGGCGTTTTTGAAAATAATATACAGGTAAAAATTTAAAGTTGAAGCGGTTTAGTTAGGGTCAATTCTCTCAAATGGAATTCAAATTAAAATTATTCTTTCCTTTCAGATGGCCTACATTCGGTTCGGCTTTCTTTGAAGTGAAACAAACGACCGAACCAAATTATCCAGAAATGCTACTAATTGCAATCAATAAACATGGCGTCAGTCTGATTCATCCACAAAGCAAGGCAAGTACACCACATTTGGAATGTAATGGATTCTGTCTCGGATTGGCAATGTTGCTATCAATTTTGTCTAAATTTAACGGAGCATTAAGCCAAACGTTTAATTACCTTGAATTTTAATCGTTTTCTTTCTTTTCTGCCCCATACAGGACATTTTAGTAACACATCCATTCACCCGCATATCGAATTGGTCGTCGGGCAACACGTACTTCCACATGACCATCGGTAATCTGGTGCGTGGTTCAAAGTTGTTGTGCGAGACATCATTAGGTTACAAAATGGACGATCTTTTAACATCATATATTTCACTAATGCTGGCCAATATGAACAAACAAAGAACAATACGAATAAATTAGCCACAATTCTGACAATTTATTGATAAATAACACGAAAAGAAGAAGAAAAATATTGAACAAATTTTTTTTTATTTATATAAATACATTGTTTTCCTTTTCTTTATTATGATTTTCTTTTAAATTTTCATTCATTTCGCAATAAATTTGAATTTAGCTGATTAGATTAATCTATCGATGATTTAGTTTAGTGAACTGGAACAAATAAGAAATGCGCACAAAATTTTAGCAATCACTTGAAAATGCAGTCGAACATAGTCGGCCACCATTTCAGCAAAATTATTATATACTTTTTTTTTTGTTCTTCAGACGATAAATTCACGTAGAAGATTTCGTTTGGCAGATCAGATTTTAAGATGAATCATTGTTCAAGTTTTTTTTTACTTTTAAATTTAATTATTTTCCAATTGAATTTCCATCCAATTATTTGCTTGTTTAGCTCCTAGTTATCGTAAGCATGTAATGCATTCGCATTAAAATATTGAATAAATCGATTTATACATATATTTTAAATGTTTTCATTTAGATTTTAGCGCAACATTTATTCAGAAGTATTGATAAATAGTACAATGTACATTGTACAATGAAATCCCAAGCGCGACTCCACACTTAGCTTCTAAATGTGACACCTTGGTAA